GAAGGCGGCAATGCAGGCCTTGACAGCAGATGTTATGTGAGAAGCAACACGCAAGAGATGCTTTGCTGTTGGCAGAAGCTAGATTTTCAGGGGTGGTAATTGCATCCAAAGAGTAAAGAAGGTCAAGGAATCAAAGGACTTTGTCTCTTTTTGCTGATCTGGTCACAATAGCTCTTTCACGAGCTGGCTTTTTGCTTTCTTGTAGTAGAGATCTCTTCATTTACCCCCTCTTGCACCGATGAGAGCATACACACTTCATTAGCTCTAATTAGAAGTGAAACCTAGAATACATCCGTCCTGAAGGAGGAGACTCTGCCCATATTCTCTGTGGTAGAAAAACCAATGGCAAGTTTTTCTACTAAAAGAAGAGTTGAAGAACCCAGAATCTTCACTAGGACAGATGTAAACTAAAGCTAGAGATTTTACACAAGAAACAGTGACACCTCCTATAATTTGCCTTCCCAGCCTTGGTGGATTCTGCACACTCGCAGCCAGCTGGTCCCTTTCTGTAGAACTTGCTGTAATTCAGTCTTTCTGGCTCCAGCACTTTCCTTCAATACTGCTGTTTTATGAACACTTTTCAACTCACTATTAAAAAGTTAACTTCAGATGAGTGAGGGGCAGAGGGATGTACAGACTTATGTTTTCCTCATTCCCTTTGGGCACACTTGTCTCTTCCTGTCTTTCCTGCTCTGCTGATTTACCTGGGGAATGCTTGGGACATCCCAGCTCTGTCCTCTTTTGTTTGGCTGCATGTGCATTCCCAGGCTGTCTGACAGGCTGACTGAACACACCTGCCTACAACATGTGTTCCTCATAAAAAGCTTAATCTGATACTTCTGCAGCCTGGAGGAAGCTGGTACTGAACATGCAGAACAAGTGGGGAAAACAGCAGCAGAGGCTAAAGCCCAAGAACATTCTTTGGGGAATTAGAGCAATAGCTTAGTGTCATTTTACATCACTGACGTTTTCCCTCCTCTTCCACCTCTCCTAAGTGATGTGTAAAGATCTAAGAATTATTGCTATTTCCCTGGGATGGCAGAGCTTAAAACCCTCTTTCATATTGAAATCACCAACCAAGATGGCACTTGGAGCAAGATTGAAATTAATTCCAAATTCTTGGCCTCTGTGAAGCTTTCTTTTCTATTTTAATTGCTGTTACACTTGGTAATGTTTAAGGGCTTGATACATCTTCATCAAGTATGGAGTCAGAAGGGAAATGCTGCTGTCTCTTGGAGTCTGCTCCTCCCACATTCTAGCAGACTCTCCCAGTGAAAAGGACTGGACAATAGGAGTGGCATTTCTCCTCTGTAGCTATATTTAATCCGTAATTCATGCAGAAGACATGAGGCATCCCAGGAGTTCATTTCATCCCTGAGGTGATATATTTAATTATAGTTTAGGTCAGCCCATAAGAAAATGCACTTCGTATTTATGTTGCATGTTTCTTCCTTCCTTGCCACTGAAACTCTCCTGTTCTGACCAGATCACGAGAGTAGCAAAAGTTCTTTCAATAAAATGTGCCATTAAATAAACAATTTTTATTGATGAAACTCATGTTAAGAAGGAATGGATTATAAAGTCAATGAAAAGTAAATTTTGAATGCTAAGCAAGTAATTTTTGAAACAAAGTCAGGAAATAGAAGAAATAAAAAAGAAAACCCTCTGCTTTGATGGAATGGGATTAGATATTTAGGGAAGTTCCCTTAATTCACTACTGGTTGTTTGGCTGGTTTGTTTTTCTGAATGCAAAAGGTCACCTTAGTCATAAAACGAAAAACATACAGGGTGAGAGGAGGGATTGTTGAGGGTGATGAGGCATTAATTTCTGTGCAAAACAAACTTCCAGACTCAATCTTACTGCTTGCTTGGTGCTTCTGAACCGTGAACAATTTTCAGAGGTTTAACAGGTTCCCTGTGACAGTAGAGCTGATAATCTTTCACACTCTCTGCCCGTAAACTGGGCAGATAAGTCATTTTCATTGTTCATACTATCAGGAATTCCCTGACACGGATATCACACAAGGCTTGTGTGTACATGCTATGGAGTATAATAGTAGTGAATGGATTTGGGGCTACCACTCTGCATGGCTGTTAACCTAGAGTTTCTCTGAGACTTGATGGAAAGTCTGGGGAACGATAAACCTTCCTAGAGTTCCACTGGAATCAGGGCACACGTTCAAGATGTATCTTTCCTGCTTTTGGATATTTGTGAGTACGTAAATTGCATGATTTGACCTTACATCCTGTAAAATGTAAAAGGATAGATCTTCAAGCTATAAAAATGCTAGAACGAGTACAAAGAATGTGTGTAACCACACTCCTAATTTGATCCTAGGGTGAGAGCAAACGCGCTTAACGTTGGAGACCAGAGTGTGCAGACGGGTGCTAGACATCTCACTGAGGCTGGGAGGGCTTTCACCTGAAGCACTCTGTTTTTCCGAGAGCATCTCTGAGTGTTGGTGTCGTTAGCTGCCCCAGCCCAGCTGATGAGCACTACATCCCTGGGTTTTATGTTTATGTTAGCACAGAGCAGGGAATAGAAAAGAAGAAAAATCTTTCCTTATTCTGGGGGGGGTTGTTGGTTTGTTTTGTTTTGTTTTCCTTTTTTTTTTTCCTCTGCCTTCCAAAAGCAACTGCTCTACCAGAGGCAATTCTAAAAGTCAGCAGGTAAAATTAGATTGGCCATTGCATGCGGCTTTGCTGTTACCGTCGTGCCCAGAAGCATTTATTTATTATTTTTTCCTGTCTGAGGTCTTCTGTAGCTCCTAGAAACTTAGTATGAAGCAGCTCTGGTTTCAAAAATCCACAGCAAGGGAATGAGTGAGTCCCCAGAGCTTCCTCTCCTGCACTGTGGCACTGGGACACGCTTCCCAAGGCTCACCCAAGGGGAAAGGAGAGAGCTGGCTTGTCTTTCACACCATTATAGAAAATTGTAAGGAAATACAAGGTTTAGTGATGCTAAAAAACCCATTCCATTTCCTTCAACAAGGTGTGTTTTGTCGGAGAGAGCAGGAGAAATCACGAACGCCTTATAACTCCCCACTAGAAATCTCATTATCTTGCCTTTTGTTTTCTGGTGTGATGTATTTTTCTGTCACGTTAAAAATGAATGGACTCTGCTTTTCGAGCCCTCCCATGCATCATTCTGTCTTCCCTCAGAGTAAGTCACTGTATGTTACATTCTAACTCTTGTTCAGAAGAATTGAGTTCGCAGTGGAAAACAATTATGTCTCACAATAACTTTACTAATACAGTTACTGTCGACCAAGATCTCGCTAAGTGGGGTGTTATGTAAAGATGTAAAACGAAGGAGGGAGAGGAGATTTGATTAAGGGGAAGAAGGCAAAGCAAAATAAAACCCCTCTGGATCAAGAATGCTTAACTCCTGTAGTACCAGAAGTTTATTACTCTGTTCAGGCTGAGTAACAACGTGCTACTGAGGCTGAATGAGGCAGTTCTGATGCTTTAGAGCTTCTACAAACTATCAAGGACAGACCCATCAGGCTACTTGAAATTGCTTTTTTTTAATGCTCGCTCTAGGTTTCTGCTCTAAAGACTGCTCTGAGCAATGGGGTGACATGAGGGCCACACCGTGCCAGGATGGCTGTTATTTGAGAGGCACCCTGTTGTTTTACTGCTCCTTCCCTGCTTCTGTCTGGTTCCCAGGAGGCAGGAATTTACTGCTAACCTGAGCAATTTGTGAATTAAGAGCACTGCTATTGCCTTGTCTGTTTCTCACCATGCTCTGGCCTGTTTACTTTGCAGGCCCAGCACTCAATGTGTCCATGCCAAAGTGTTAATTCTCCAAAGATATGAAGGACCTTAGAAATTGTAGAGCTAGAGTAAGACTAGGATTTCTTTCCAATTGATTTTTGACCTCCAGACCTAAGTTACTAAAGATTTCAGTGTCTCTGAACATTGCTGCCAGTACATCACCATTTCTATGGTTAACCCCTGCACTCAGCACTGGTGAGGCCCCATCTCGAGTGTTGTGTCCAGTTTTGGGCCCCTTACCACAAAAAAAGACATTGAGGGGCTGGAGCGGGTCCAGAGAAGGGCAACGGAGCTGGTGAGGGGTCTGGAGCACAAGTCTTATGAGGAGAGGCTGAGGGAACTGGGGGTGTTCAGCCTGGAGAAAAGGAGGCTGAGGGGAGACCTTGATCTCTACAACTCCCTGAAAGGAGGGTGTAGCCGGGAGGGGTTGGTCTCTTCTCCCAAGGAACAGGCGATGGGACAAAAGGAAATGGGTTCAGTCTGGAGAAAAGGAGGCTGAGGGGAGACCTCGCTCTCTACAAGTCCCTGAAAGGAGGGTGTAGCCAGGGGGGGTTGGTCTCTTCTCCCAAGTCACAGGCAATAGAACAAGAGGAAATGGACTCAAGTTGCACCAGGGGAGGTTCAGATTGGATATTGGGAAAAATTTTTACTCTGAAAGGGTTATTAAGCATTAGAATGGGCTGCCCAGGGAAGTGGTTGAGGCACCATCCCTGGAGAGATTTAAAAGACGGGTTGATATAGCGCTTAGAGACATGGTTTAGTGATAGGTTTTTGTCAGACTTAGGTTGATGGTTGGACTAGATGACTCTTGCTCTGTCTACCCCCATTCTACCCTGTCTGTGTGGTTGGTCTGTACATAGTTGTCTGTCTAAAATGTCAGATAAGGCACTCTCCTGCATCCTCATCACTTCTTACAGAGAGTAAACTTCACACAGTAGTTGTAATACCAGCAAAGCAAGCCCATGTTCTCGACAATCATTCTAGCAACAGCAAGATGCTACTCTGAAGCTCAGGATGGGTCTCGCAAGGTTTGGACCTTTGAGTACGCTCCCAGAATTGTCTTTCCTTAAGCCTAGACATGCACCCCCACCTTACAGAAAACATGATTTGGCTCCACCATTACAGCAATGCTGTCAAGTTGACAATGTTGAAGTCATGCCAAGTGGATTTTGACCAGTCTCGCAAGATTGATGCTAAGATGATTTATTCTCTCTATTTTCCAGCTGGTGGGCTTTGTCTACGCCTGTTACGTTGTTAGTGTTTTTACAGAAGAAGAAGACAGCTGTAAGTATTTATCGACAGATCCCTTGGCAAAGGTTTTTTACATTTTATTCCTCTCTCAGATGTTTGTCTATCAGGCCTGAGTTGCCATCAGACTCCTCTCCATCTCTCCATCTATACGATAAGGCACTGCCTACCTTTCAAAGATCAGCTGTTTTTTCTGTGAGGTGTTTTTCCCCATGTCACCGCGTGTTAGACGCTATAATTCTGCTATTCTTTCAGCCCAAAAAAGCTTGGGTGTTGGCTACTCTCAGGCTGGGTTTTAGAGAAACTGGGCAGCCTCTTCTGTTCTCAAGCTTATATAGCTTAATGGCACTGAAATAATACCATTGTAATTAGGAGTACCTAACGGAGAATACAGCCTGCTACTCAAGCAGGCCACCTGCTGAGTATCATATGCCACCAGCCGGGGATGAAGCAGAGCATGAGATTTCTTGCCAAGAACCAACCTGACCACTTAATTTAACAGCAGATGAGGTACTGCATCTGAATTACAAAAAGGAGGAAGGCGACGACTCTCTCATGGTTGATATACAAATACCTTACGTGTCATGACGTGTCGGAGAAGAGCAAAGACTCAGAGGAATTGCTGGGTCTGTGGCATCTATCCAGGTATCTGTAACCTGGTCCTGGATTATCGTTGCCCTTCTAAAACTCCCTTTGAGAGCAATAATTTTGCAAACAAAAGAACAGACACATAGGGTTCAAATAAATACAAAATGTGATTTCTTTGGCAATTTTGCCTTTCTGTGTTGGAATTCTCAGCATGTTTTAATCAGTAAAGTCTCACTGAAATGAATGGGTCTAGGCCAGTATACTCCATGGAAGGATCTGATCCAAAGGCTTTATATCCAAGTATAACTTCTTTTAAGACATTAATTAGGTTGGTGGAAGTAGTTTTGTTGTTTTAAAGAGCAGCTGGCATGGATTTTAGCTGAAAAAATAACAGCTTTGAACTGAATATTTGAAAGTACATGAAGAATGTTGATTTCATAGGAGTGAGATGAGATGCATTTGCTTATCGGACTTCTCCTGATGTTTTTCTGTTGCTTCCTGTGTGGCTGAAGTGATTCTACTGACTTTATTGATCTTTTGTTTAGAGCTTGGCAGTGCACTTAGCAGAAGTGCTACATTATAAGTAATATTTTTAAAATTACCCTATAGCTCTTCTATTAGCTAAATAGCTTGAGTTCTAAGCCCCTTTTGTAAAGTAATACCTTGCCAGAGCTCCTTTTTGTAGGAGGGATCTGTTGGGAGAGGCAACCACATGGAAGGAAGCATTATCAAGAAACAGAGCCATTAATTTCAGGATATGTAATTTTTTTTTCTTTCCACTAACAAATTCCTTTTCCCTTCCAGTTTCCCAGCTTGGAGTTAAAATGCCAGCTTGAATAATTAACAATGACAAACCATCAATATTTCACACTCACAGTGGTAGATCCTTCCAGTGACCTGAACAAATTTGAGCTGCGTTTTAATTTTCTCTTCCATTTGTGGTTTCCTTTAAATGTTGCTTTGATATGCAGCATGAAGTAATTATAAGTGCTGAGGCACATTAATCAGGAGACTCGTGCTAACGTGATTTTCATGAGAAAACACAGCAGTAGGGATCTACTAAAGCTGAAATGTGGGCAAGAATATTTTAGATGTGCTAATGCACTAATATATTGCAACAGTGAACCTCAGTTAAGATTATTTTTTTAAGTAACTTGGATTTTGAGTGCTTCCATGGTTGGGCGCTCAGATGATACCTTGTTTGTTCAAGGTATTAAACAGTTACTGATAATTGAAATTCTTTAAGGTTTCCTAATTTAGACATTCCACAACTGAGGTAATATAGTTAGCATCTGTTTTTTAAAACTGCCGAACTGTCTTGATTTTAAAATACTCAAACATTTTCAAAAGTGGCTAAGAAGAGGTCAAGTCTCACTGGAACTGCTGGGAGTAATTTCCCCAGTTAACTTAGAACCTCTACAGATTTTGCCCATTGACTGACAGTTGATCCAAAATCACAGTAGCACCATGAAGCTATCCATCAAAATGGAATTTGTGAGAATATATTGTCTTTGGGTTTCTAAACATATTTTGAGATGAGTTATTTTTTCACTTCCAATATATTTAGTTAATATTTTTTCTATTTTTCAGTAAAAAATACCAAAACTCTTTAGCTAAAATTTAAATATTTTTTCTATTTTTCACTAAAAAAAATACCAAAACTCTTTAGCTAAAATTTAAAATAATAGTGCCACCTTCAGGAAAGAAAAATAAACAGGCATTTATATAGTTAATAAGACTCTCTGGCTATTTTTAAAATGGCATTAGGACCGGATAGCTTCCACACTTCCAAACAAAATGCACGAACTTGGCACTAAAATGTGGTCTAAGCTGGATGTATTTTACAGGGTTTTGCAGGGCCTGCTGGGTTAGTCACAAATCTCCCCACATCATACCCCAGCTGACCTGGCTACGCCGGCCCGTTTGGCAATATAGACTTGGCCTCATTTCAGGGGAACTGAGAGAGACTTGGAAAATTCTTCTCTGGTTACTAAGGGAATTGTCACTTCAAACCTGCCTTGTTCAGTGGCGTTGCCCTTGGGTGAACGCTGGCGAAGGGAAGCATTGTTCCTGTTTGTATACAATTGAAAGAAACGGAGTTGGCAGAGGGGACGTGAAAAATATCAGAGCTGAAGATAATGAGGTATTCGCAGTTTTCCAAAGCTGCTGCTGTCTGCCTTGCAGGAAAGACAAGTGGGGCAAGAAAATTCCCACTTTGCTATATAGTCTTCAGGGGGATTGCTGTGCTGCCAACCCCTCCCCTGGCATTCACTCTTCCCTCCTTTCAGCGCGTGGCTGAATGGCTGAGGCTCTGTCACTCCGTTCTCGTGTGAAGTCACAGCGTGGTGGCAATGCCCAAGGAGGCTGAGGCAGACCCTCTTGTTTTTTGGGAGTCTTTTGTTAGCTCTGCTTTAAGCCTTGTGCCCGCTGAATCTCCTCCTTGGCACACTCGCCCATCCCAGGAGGTCCTGGAAAAGGGGTCTGTACAGGCAGAGATTTCCACCAGGCAATCCATACCTGAAAAAAATCACTTTTCTGTTCTCTCACTAGTTTTTGTGTTATGTCATGACATGCACCGATTTTTTTCTTTCATTTCCTTTCAACTTTCTGGCCATGTTTGTTTATTTATTTGAGTTTTGATTTCTTTTCAGTTGATTTCATTGGTGGATTTGATCCATTTCCTCTCTACCATGTCAATGAAAAACCCACCAACCTTTTGTTCAAGCAGACATACCTGTAAGTATCATCTCCATGGAAGCCTCTTAGTTTGATAGCTCAAGAGTGCCACAGGTTTGGGGTTTTACCTCCTCGCAGGTTGATTTCTCCAGCAGGCTTTTTGGGCATGGAAGGAATGGACAAGTGGACAGCAGAAGGGGTGAAACTGTCTCTGCTCAGCCCCAGGTTGCCAGGGTGAAGCTGCAACGTCTAGTTATTTAAGCCATATTTTAGCTCTGTGGTCAGTCAGTCACAACTGAACTCTGCAGTTTCCCATCCATGCAGTTTTCATCATTGGCCATGTCTTTGTCATCCTCCAACCATCTTCTCGTGGTGGCACCATGAAATTTGACTCTGTGTTGGGTACAGGGTCTCCATGTGTCTGCTTTTACTTCTAGGGAACTGGTAGCATACAAAGCTAACACACCAGTGAATAAAATAAAACTGAGCATTAGATGATTTGTATGCAGGATGGCACAGGTTTGCTCTTAAGATTTCTTTTTATTAATTCTGTTGCCCACAAGAACAGAGGCTTCTGTGTGGAGCATCCCAAGAGTTCAGTTGAGAGCAGGGAGCAGAAAGGAGTGGTGTTCCCAGCAGCTCCTCTCCTACCACTAACAGAGATCAACACTCTCCACTGCTCAATTCCAGCTTCTGCCCTCAAGATAAACCCTTCCCCCTGCTGAAGGCACAAGATCACACTTTCACACAGTCCACTTAAAAGCTGGTTCTCTAATGAGATTCTTAAACATAATGGCCAGTATTATCTGTTTAAAGAAGGAATAAGATCTGAATTTTTGATACTCTTTAAATCAAGCTGGAAGAAGGCAGTTCAATGTGCAGAAGTGTTTTAAAGCAGCACTAGAGGAGGTTGTTTTAGGGCAATAACGTTACCAGAGAGTCCTGCCAAAAAGAAGGATGTGAGGATGGGGGAGAAAAGTGGGGATGAGGGAAGAAAAGCTGCCTCCAAATAGATTTGTAGGTGTGCCCCTCTGATGTGGCGTGGTTATTACTGCCCACTTTGTCACCGCAGCACAAGACCAGGAGAACAAGTAATTTTTGCAAAGCAGTTAAATTCCCTGTAACTTTGGGGGTTCTATAGCATTATTAGAAGGGATGGTACAGGAGATTAAATATTGATTTCCCTCTCATTTTGTCACAGGGGGATGGAATTTTCCATAGCCTGTAGAAGCTGTGGAGCTTTAAGCAGCTCCCTGATTTACTGGCCCAATACAGCAGTGTGCTGAAGAAACATCACACTTTTACAGTATGGGGGGGAGCTGCTTTTTTCTTAGAATGACAAATTCTGTTTGTGAAAGAAGCTAGTGCTTAGAAAGCTTCATTTATATGTAGGGAGATTGTAATATTAACAGAAGCTAGCAATGTAAAACCTCTTGGTAAGACAGGGAGCTGCTAACGAAGTATACAAATAATTGTGGTGTCCCATTCTTCAGACCATCACTTATCTAGTGGTAGCTTCTGCCAGCACAATATAATATTTCTTTCTGGATAATGGGAGGTGAAAACAGCTGCTGAGCAGTAGATAAGGTGACCCTCTATAAATTTCACAGCAGCCACCAAATAGCAATTTTTGTTTATTTATTTCAGCCCAGCTATTGCCTCTCACCCGCATGTAGGAATGGGACTGAGAGGAGGAACAGACACTTGATTCTCAACTAACGATGCCATGGAGTTCTGCATCTGGGGCACTGAGTGCCAGATGCCCTGGTCCTGCTGGGAAAATCATTTTATGATGACCGAAGGCATTTTCTCTTTTTGTATCCTGTTCAAGAAGATGCAAAACAACAAATACATCCAACTTGAGGTTTAAATTAATAGAACAGCTAGGGGTCAGGAGCATGGACTTTCTGGTTTTACCTCCTTTTTCATTGAAGGAAATGCTGAATGAAACCAAATCTATTCTACAGCTACTGACTTGGAGCTAACTGCAGCCATGAACTTACATTTTTGGGTGGCATCACTGCAATGTCAATAGCCAGATGCTCTCCTGACAACACCCTCGCCCTGTTGCCACAACTCCAGCAGGATCACTTTCCTTCATTCCCTAATGGAATTATCCTGGTCACTTTTATCTGTCCTTTTCTGATGAGATCACACTCTTTCCGTTCCTTCCAATGGGCCCTTTCCCGTGTCCTGGCTTGCATTTTTCCCTAGTTTCTCTTCTTCGTCTCTCCAAATTTAGAATTTTCAAGGAGGAAAGGCCCCACAGAACAATGACATTGACCTAGATTGATGAGCACAGCTTAAGTCCAAGACCAACCCCCATAACCTCTGTATCAAGCACACAGCCTATGACTTTGATAACTTGCTCTTTCCCTTGTCCTGGCTTGCATTTTTCCCTAGTTTAGAATTTTCAAGGAGGAAAGGCCCCACAGAACAATGACACTGACCTGGATTGATGAGCGCAGCTTAAGTCCAAGACCAACCCTCATAGCCTCTGTATCAAGCACACAGCCTATGATTTGATAACTTTTAAATATGCTCTCACATTTTTGACCTAGATTGATGAGCACAGCTTAAGTCCAAGACCAACCCCCATAACCTCTGTATCAAGCACACAGCCTATGACTTTGATAACTTTTAAATATGCTCTCACATTTCAAATATATTAAAGGGAGACTGCTGTGTACCTTGGCAGCCTACTTCAGTGGTTATCATCTGCTAAATTCTGTATTCAAAATGTACACACCATATCTGGCCTCAGCTTCCACCCGCTACACTGAAAAAAAGTTATTAAAAACGTTTGCCTCTTACTAGTAGGAAAAAAAACCATCTCCCCAGACTATTACTGATAATAGGTACTTCCATACCACCATCCAGTTATCTACTGACCTCCTTGACATCAGTTGGAAGTCTTCAGTTAGTGGGAAACCTCACAAATTATCAGGTCAGGTGTTACTTTTCATTTTTTTAAAAAGCCAACAACAATAAGAAAAAAATATATCAACCAACAGTTTTGTACTGTTGCTTACAAAGGCATGATTTAAGTGTGCTTCATCTTAATTAGCACCTCCACTCACACAGCAACAACGATGTTCTGTAAATACAGTTATTTCTATTTCAGGTTCCACAACTGCTTCTGTTCTACATTTCATTGACTCAAAGGGGCTTTTGGTTGTGATAGTTCCTATTTCAAGTCACAAGCTTAAGTTAAAGAGACTCAAATTATTTCACTGCTTGCCTCAAATCTACCATGGAAAGGACCATCGGGTAACAGAGGGTGTGACTTTTATCAGATGTAGACTTCAGTATTGACCGGGCAGCAACAGGAGGTATTGGTTAATTGAATGATCTAAGGCTCCAGTTGGTGATTGCCCACATTAACACTCTCTAATCAATTCTTTTGTGGTGCAGTCTGTCAGTAGCCATAGGCATGAAGCAGCTGTGAGTGTGCAACACTAAAGAATTAGACCCAGTACAACAGCCACCCACTTGTAGGCTGACCACTTATAAATTGAATGTAGGTTCTTCAAGATCAACTGACAGGTATAAGTACACAAAAAACACTCATTAAAAAAAAATAATAATCAAAATCCAGACTGAAACACTGAGGGAGAGAGAGGAGAACTCCTTTGGGATTGTTTTCCCCCTACCCCCTCCAAACTTTGATGACCAGAATACTTTACAGAGGAAACTTTTACTTAAACAGGGGAAAAAAAAATCCCACTTCATTTTAAGGAGAGAAAAAAAACTCCACAAAACACAAAACAAAATGCTTCTGCTTTTCTTTCTAGGTAGACTTTTTCCCAAACAAACAATTTGCTGAATATCAACATGAATTTGCAAACTGTTTTGATCAACCTGAAGCTGCATGTTTAAGAGGTGATGTTTCAGCTGAAAACATTCACTCATCTTTACTGCTGGCTACAAAAGTAGATCTGCTTATACTGCTGCATCTACACAACAAGCACATCACTGCAATTTCAAGGAGCTACTTTGTTCTAGAGATGAACCCTAGCTTTTAAAATTCCTAACCGAATTTTATGCAGCTCCAAACGCTGAGGATACATAGATCTAACACTTTGGCTTGGCCTAACTGCAGTATGTTCAGGTCTGGTATATGCATAGCATTCTTTCCAGACTTGAAGACTACTTAACCACATTACTTCCGAGCTCTCAGTCCTATTCCTCACCTGTAGTCAATCATATTTCAAGCCTAGAACAGGGGAAACAAAATGTCCTCATTATTTCCACGCCATTTCTGTTATCTTAAGTACTTGTTCCACACTGATGCCCTGCCTTCCCCTTTTCTCCCCCCTGCACAGGCCTGCGTAAGTAAAGAGGAGCCAGAGGATGGATGAACCTTGCACTCCACCATCAAAGGTGCTGCAGGAAACAATCCCCTGTGGCCTGGATCTTTGGCAAAGGAAATGCAGGATGGTGAACTCCATTCCATTTTTTGTTCCTTGTCTTCTTTTCAAATGCAATGAATGTACATTGAAGAATGGCCACGCGGTTGGTTTCTAATTCTCCAAGTGCCCTGACAAACCATTCCTACCACAGCCTGGTGGCACGAGTCACCACATGGCACAGCCCTGAAGACCTCAGGCAGGACAAGTTCACCGAGAGCCGCTCTCAAGAGCTACAGCTGAAGTCAGAGCTGCTTCCTTGCACCATGGATCCATAAAGGAGGAAGCACTGCATAACACCCCGGGACATCTCATATGTTCTGTAGTTAGTTTCTTCCCCTTCTCCTTTCCCTCGTTCTGAAAAGAGCCTAAATCCCCTAACACAACTTCATCTCCTCCCCACCTGTATAGAACCAGGTGGGGGCTATTTACATTTGAGTTATTTAGGCTTTTTCTTTTTTTTTTTTTCCCTCTTTTTTTTTTTTAAGTTATAGATGAGAGCTCTTCCCTTCTTCCCCCTGGCCCATCCAGGACTCCCTTCCTCACTCTCTAGACATGGGCAGCACCTTAGCAGTAGGCATTTGTCCTGGATTTCAGTGTTCTGTGACCTAACTCCTATAATGCTGACCAGCTAAAAAACTAGTACAAGCACCAAATCTTTACTCAGCATGGAGCTTAGCCCCATTTCGACATGCCAAGCCGTTCTCAGAGCAGCTGTAGCTTACTCTGGGTTTGTCCATCTCCATTCAATTAACACTGGTGTAGTGGTGTACAGAGCTGAAGCCTGCTGCAGGACACTGGGAAATGCCAAGTTCTTCATGGATCATTGATGGTTTTGTACCCGCCTTCTTCACCGAGCAGCTGCGCTTATTCCAGGCACAAGCCTGGCATCATCCCCATGCAAGGGGGTTTTTCTGGCAGGATAATTTTGGAGGGGAGGGAGTGGGTTGAAGGAAAGGGGGAATATAAGTGTAATTAAGTTGCATTAATGAGCTGCAGCAATTAATTAAAAAAAAACACCAAACAAAAAACAATGTCTGTTTTGTTAGCTGTACCTCCCAGCATGTTGTGAAGCAGAGAAAGAGCACTCGTTACCCATCCGTGGTGTTCTTTGGCCAGTACCTACCAAGTAATTCTTCATTGTCTCACCTAATCTGTTTGAGATTACCAGGCATTTTTGAGTAATTCTTTCAGAAGACTCAAGATAGAAACTGTGCTCAGGAGAGGGAGTACGAGGGAAGAATTAAAAGAAATAAAACCATTGAGTGCTAAGTCAGAACAATGCACCTTGCTTTGTCTTATTCCAAAGGGCCCAGGAAGCAAAATCCTCTTCTATAAACCCAGAAGTAGAAGCATTAAGAGAAGATTTTTGTTTCAGTTCAACTTCCATTCCAGATGCAATCTGCAACCTAACATCCTGAGTTCAGATCAGGTGCACCCACAAGTAAAAATGTTGTCTTCTGTAGGTATTTTTTCTTTTAGCCAGTAGAAGCCACAGCTTCTGACTGAGCAGAACAGACAACTGATAGTTGCTGCTTTGCTACTAGTTTCATCGCTTGAGGAAGAATAAGCTCAGCCCTCTCTAAACAGCTCTGCCTAACAAAACATTACCAGTTCCCAAATTAGTCAAGACTGTACCACTACAAGTTATAAAAAAATATCCTAGTGAAACATAAGCTGCAGCACCAGTTAGAAAGCACACGTAGCAGTGTGCATACACTGTCTCTCAACGCTTTCTCCACCTCTTCCTTGATTCAGCTCATTTCTGTATTACACTCATTCCTACTTGCCCACATGATGTTCCCTGGAGGGGCAGAAAAAGGAATGGAAGAATCCATATCATCTAGTCAATGAGACAGAAGAAAACACTGATTTTACACTTCTTGGTTCCTCTAGTCAATGAGACTGAAGAAAGAAAACACTGATTTTACACTTCTTGGTTCAATACAATTTCTTTTCCTCAGAGAAAAGTGCTGCCCATCAGATGCCAGCTTTCTTTATTGGCCTTGTTTGAGAGCAACCAAAATTCAGCACAGATGGTGGAGAAAGCCCAGTTTGAGCTTTGAACAGCTGAAACATTTCACTAGTAGTTTCAGGAAGGAATTCTTCTAGATGGTAGTGTGAAGTCATGGGGTACTCTTTGAATTATTTTGAGGTCTTCATGTTTTTAACACTGTGACTCTCAAACTGACCAAGCCTCAATGATACATTTACTAATAAAACTGATCAAAACCACTTGCCAAGTGCTCTAGAGACTAAGTACCAAACCATGCACTCATCAAAATCAGTCTGATAAGAAAGAAAATAAGAGAAGCTATCATATTCCACACTTAATTACCTCCTCTGGCTTTCATTAGCAGAGCCATACACACTCTGAGAACCCCACCTCCTGCTCTGCTTGTGCTAGACCTACTCTAAGTACTGGAAGGTGATGCAGTGACCCTGTTCTGCCAGGGCAGGGACTTTGCATCTCCAGGTGCTGTGAGATGAAGGAGCAGCTGAAGGTTTTGCTCCAGCAGGTTCCCTTATCGCCAGGTCAGGAGTGCCCTCTATTGGGGACAGGCATCACTTGAGAGACGGCTGGTCAAAAAAAACCCCAACGTGTACTTGTTTCTGAAGGGACACCTTCCCACAGAAAAAACGGCTCCATCCTTTCAGATGCAGAAAAGCCACATTTTTCAAAGTGTTAAATAACAGAAGCCCCAGAAATAGGTGTTGTATGTACAGCCTCATAGCCCTGTTGCTGCTCAGGCTGGGTTCCAGCCACACTGAGCTGAAGTTTAGGAGGAAATAACACTATTCCAACACTAATCTGATTTTGGTTTCCCCTTCTCAGATTGGCACATCTACTTAAGCTTTTGCTGTTATTTACAGAGGCACAATAAAGGCAACACTAGCTTGAACCCAGACACAACACCTAGTTTTACCTGGTGAAGCAATTCTGTTCCCTATGAACCCTGCTGCCTGGCAAAGACCCACCAATCCTCTGCTGGAGCATTTCAACTGCTCAACTAGTAATTTCTCCCATCTTTCATCTCTATCTGTAGCACCGAAGGACAGACTTTCAAGTGATCTACAGCCTGCTGCCACTCCAACATCTCAGGACACCACCACACCCTCTTCCCCCAGTAGGGCATTCTACTGGAATCAAGTATTCAGACCTCTGTAAAATAAAGAAAACTTTATTCCATGAAAAAGAGCAGTTAATTTAAAAAAAAAAATATATATATATATTTCCTTTCCCCTGCAGTTGACAAGCTGTAGTATTGACAAACCTTTCTCTTTTTGGCTACATGATAGAAAATAAGAATCATCAGTTTAACCAGCAAACAGAAGTCCTGAAAAGGTAAGTTTCCATAGTAATATCCTAGTAGAACTGTATCAAACAGCCAGGGAAGAAGCTTGCAGGAGATCATCCAGTGACCCTGACCATCAAAAGAGCCTTTCACCTTCAGTCTGGGGAGGTCAGCTGAGAGTAAAGAGCTTGGAGAGTCTACTACAGGCCAGGCTTTTCTCTTAGTTATGCAGATTTGAGCATTACTGAAACATTTTGTCAATTGTTAAAAATTCAGCCAGGGGGAGGGAGGGAAGACAGCAAAAAGCTAAGAAGAAAAAGCTGGATTCTCCCTCCCCCACAATACATTGCTGCTGAGTATTCTAGTCTCCACGGAATGCATTTTATATAATAATACTCCCATTTTGACTCAGACTTACTGAAGGAAGCCATTAACCCTAGCAGAATAGTCTCTAAACAACTACTAAATGAGTGAAAGAGAACCAGAGACAGTCTACTGAAAACAGCCTTTGATTTCAACACAGAGGAGGGATTCTTTTGAGAATGCAAGAATTTGGAGAAGGAGAATCTCTGTCAACAAAAGCTGCTTTTTGGAAGACAAAAGAAACCAGCAGAGTTTTTCTGGAGCAGTCCTGCAGCAAGATCAGCAAGAGTACAGCAAACCAGCAACTCTTACTAGAAACACTGTGCATCAGAGGCACATTTAGTAAGTTTTTACGCTTATGCCAAGCTACTCTGCTAATAAGATTGCTCCAGCATCAAACTGTTTACTTATTTTCTTCCTCAGCTGCATTATGAGTTGTATAAACTTAGTCTTTCCCCTTAGGCACATCGTGGCTCAGGACATGAAAGTCCTCACACTTCCCTGGATAACTGCTCTGCAGATAGGACACAGTCTCAGACTGAGGGCACATTCTCCACAAGCAACCAGGTGGCCACAAGGAACAAACACAACAGACACATCTCTGTCCATGCACACTTTGCACATCCTTTCCTCTTGCAGGCGTCGGAGCTGTTCTTCTGTGCTCATCCGAGACTCATCTTTACCCAAAAAAAAAAAAAAGCCCAAACTGTTAGCATTTTAACAGCTCCAGAATGCCAGTCCTGCCATCTTAGAAAGTCATGCTGTAATTTGCTCATCAATTTGTTGAGAGACTGACTGAAGATGGCAACGCTACCTCTGGGGAAAGTTTCATTTAAGCTGAAAAACTACAGCTATTACAGGCTCCAGCTTCTCTATGAAAGATTTAGTGTATCTACACACGCTGGACTGAGCGGGGAGAGATATCAACATCTTTTTACTGGAATATGTGAATTATCCTGATAAACCACATTTTTTGTATAACTGTCTGCTTCACAGTGGAACTCCAGTTCCCGAGTAAGCATTTCTGTGTTCAGTTACCATTCAAGCTAGCACATATTCCCCTTCAGGACTTAAAAAAAAAAAATAAAATTTAAAAATACAATGACCACTGATACCGTTACTATAAAAATCATCCCAACTAGGGTCAATTTTACCACCACTGCCACCCCAGTGCACCTGATTTCTTTTGTTGCACAGATTGTGTTTCTTCTCTCAAACTTGATGTTTCGGTCTCCCTCTGAACGGCATCTGTATTAGCAGGAAAGAAGATGGCATTAAATGCTACCCCTTCGCTCCCTCTTCAGACAGTGTTGTTTATAAAGATGAAATATCCTGGATTTCAGTAGCTTTCAGTCAAACATCTTTACTCAGCTCTTAAATTCACACACTCAGCCTGGCGAAGCTGATGTTCTGTGGTGTTTTAGTCACTGGGTATGTTACCCTCCTTACCAAGACATGACTCCTCAAAGAGAGGAGACCACATTTTCTCCTCAAAGTGGATTTATCCATCAGACAGCAGGAGCCATCAGCTGCTCATTCCTGCTCCTGTGCTACTATTTAATCACACTTTTGGTTTTGTAGAAATCATTTTTTCCTCTGCCCTTAGCTACAGAGATGGCAGACTATGATACAGAGACAGGAGCTTTGGTAAGCTACCAGAGAAAGCCTGTGTGGAATTGTATCTTCTAATAAACTTCACTTGGCAGACTCCACAAAACAGGTAACACAAGACAGACATAAATAAGCTAAGGAGAACATATATTATCCCAACACAAAAAGAAGTATGGATATTTCTGATCAGTATGGTATTTCTGAACATACTGGAGACAGATACAGTTACTGATACCCCAGTAATCACAGCTCCTTCAGGTTTCTTTAAAGCAGAATCTCATTCTCCAGCCTCTCAAGGAAAGGCATGCTTGGGTACATTACTACTGTTAATTCCAGCCCAGGGAGGGAGAAGGCAGACCCACAAGACACCTCAGTGCTCAAGATGACATGAATAAGAGGCTAAACATCCACCTAGAGTGTGGGTGTGAGATTCAGGCATACCTCTGTTCTGCTCTGCACTGCTGCCCTCTCCCCAGTCTGGCTGGAGCAGATCAGAAACCAGCTCAGACTCAGAAAGGTCGAAGGTCCAAATCAGTATGGATTGATTCTCTACCAGGTTGGCCACCCGCATGGGGGGAAAGTCCATATCCAGGACATCCCACACTCTGGTCAACCAATTCAGAGGAGAAGCCCGTAATTGCCAATTCCTCAAAAGGTCTGTAAAGCAGTGAGCAGATGCTTTACTGAAAAGGCAGCACTTTGGGCAAAAAGTATACCACTCCCTAAAGTTGTTGTACATAAAATGGCACTTATATGTTCTAGAATATTCCTCAAGCTACCTGTATAGCTGGATCAACATCCGGATTTACAGCTTTTACTTCCAGTAATAATTCACAAGAAAGTCATCAACAGCAATTTCATAAAAGCCAAGGGACTAATTTTAGATGGTTTATTCTACTGTACCAGTGAACCAAGTCTCCCGTGTTTGGCCCCAGTCCAAAATCTTTATCTTTGTTTTCACATCCCAGAACACAAGTGTCAAAACCACTTTCATGAAGATCAAGAGGAACATCCCAATTGAAGTCTCTCCTACTTCATAATCTACCCCAACCACTCATCAGCAAAGACAGAAGTGGAAAATTCAGCTGGCAGCCTGTTCAAAAGCTTAAATCTTTCTTAAGCTCATCCTATCGGATGGGCTCTTCAAGAGAATGAGAAAAATCGTTTTCCACATTTATGGGAGCCAAATTTCACCTACTTAAATTTCCAAGAGCAACTGATGAAAGGGAATAGATTCCCAGGATCATCACTTTCATGAACAATTAGACCCTCCAGCTGGTCTCTTGTGTCCTATCAAGTATGTGTAAAATGCAATAATCTGAAAGACTCTACAGACAAACAACAACATCACGAGCATGGACAAGTCAAAGGAAGGTTAGGTGAGCACCCAGAAGTCACACAATTAGAGGTCTCTGGTCTTAGACCAAGAGGTCTCACAAGAATGAACAGTTTTGCTTCTGGTACTAGAGACCATTTCCTAAAAATAAAATGAAACAGCTTATAGAATATCAAAACATCTCACAAACACCATGTCTGCAGAGTGCACAGTAGCTGGGGTGGGGTAGAAAGAGTAAGACAAGACCACTTTCAACAGAAGACAAAACACAATGCAATTACAGCACTGACCTGAAGCAGCAGGGGAACCTTGTTCAGTCTGATCCCAGGAATCCCTCTGAAAATGTCACAAGATGGTCACATAAGAGAAAGACATGCTCAAAAGACCCCCTATTTACCAAATCCCCATCCACTATACACAAAATATTCACAACTCACTGGAGATAGCAGGGTGCTAGAAAAGGACTCCTGAACACTGCGAATAAATTCTCTTCCTCTTGACCGCAATAAAAACTCACACCTATAACCAGAAAGAATTAAATATATTAGTACAGGATCTCATGTGAAAGTAGCAGTAGTAGTCTGAATTTTAGAAGCAAAGGGTGCTATTGGGTTATAATCAAACTGCTATATTCATTAAAGAGGAGGGAATATCACTTTCCCCCCCGTCCCCCACTTCTCACATGAAGGACAATGATAAGAGGCTCATGATTCCTCCCTTAATTCAGTTTTCATGTTTGGCCCAAGATGAGCTTGGTCCTTTGAATCAAATCACAGAAAGCATGATTCAGAAAGTTCACAGAAAAACCACAAGAACTGTTACAGAAAAACATTTAGAATATAATTCTTTTTGTACCTCAGAGAACCCACAGCTGTTCTTTGATGTCAAAGATAGTAATTTTAATTGAACTTTTACATGGTAAATCTACCTGAGCTTGAACATTTGATTTTGCTTTTAAAGTGAGAGGGTCTAAATATTTAGGCTTTGCCACTTCTATTTAAAAAGAAAACTAGTTAGAGCTTAGACAGCCATCATCCAGCAGGTTTCATCATTAACAGAGAACACTCCAGTGATACATCAGCCTCTGGAGCAGAAGATGTGGCAATGCTCAAGAAGCAGCCTAAAGGGACTGAAGCCAGATGTCCTGGAGTCAGCAAACTATTGTAAGGGATAGTGTTTGCAGAGAGACACATCAACTGCTTTTTGGGGAGGGTGCAAAGGGAGATACAGGAGAGGAGAGGGAGCTGAAGATACAATGATTAAGTTTTCAGGCCAATCTTTGGTTGTTCCACGTGCAAGGGCAGAGTGGAAGGCAGGCACTTCTGGAAGACAGAAGAGACCAAGTAGCAGACCTAGAAGCAAGTTTTCTATCTTGACCCACTCCTACAATCTTAAGATGGTCTCTTGCTGTGCAACTTTGAGAATTCAGAACCCTTCTCTTGAGGTTTCAGGGATTTCCAGAAGGTTACACACTATAACAACAGCTTATGAAGTTAAATATTAAATATAATTGAACATACCTGACTAGCTTTTCATCTGCTCTAGCTATGTAGAAAAATCTAGAACAGAGCTAATAACAGAGCCTGGAAGCAGTGCTTATTACCAGTACACCACTGAGTCATTTGTCTCTCAGCTGGAGGTCTCAGCTTTTATTTCTTCATGAAAGAAGAAATCAGCATGGAATGCTTATCCCACATATCTTATGCTTATTCCAGCATAGCTTTTGGTGTTGCTACAAGGGACATTTGTCAACCAAGACTGACTTACCCTGGATACCATTTGGCATGTTCCCTCCAAGGATCATCTCCAAACGACCAGTTCCTCACGTGTCCATCACAGTAAAAACACCTCACTATATCATTTAGTCCTGAAACAGACATCAAGAGATTAATTGCTATCTGAGACACTGTATGCTCTACGAGTCCCAGGTGAGAACCTGGAGAGATTCAGCACAAAACACAGGCTACCAGACAGAACAGATGAGCACATGAGAGTTCACCAACGCTGTGCAAGTTGTATAAGGGCAGGAAATCTGATGAAAGTTGGAATTTCCAGAGCTGCAGCTGGTTGAGATGATTCCAGAGCTGGGTCACAAGCTAACAGGCAGCACACACGTGAGCACCATAGCTCCCATGTACGCACATACCTATCTAAGCCCCTCTTGCCTGCATTTAGAGTAGAGCTGTAATTAATTACACCCATAAACAGACTTTGTTTCCTAACTACAATCTGCTATCACCAGCAGCAGGCACAGTCAGATGATGGACACAGCTTCCATCCCAGTACAAGAATTTGCCAAAATACGGTCCCAGGCTACCCATCCTGCTTCTATGTTTCTCTTCACAGAGATCATAGAGAAAAAAATAAAAATAAATAAATATAAAAAATCAAAGCCAAACACAGTTAAGACTGTGTGCCCTAAGGGCAATGAAACAGTGTCCATAAAGGCTGCCAGGGAGTTTAGGTCATAGACACCAAAATCAAGCCACAGTGACAGCCAAACGGACTGACTATCTACAGGTTTCACTCAGATTTGTTTTTTTGAGAAGAGAAGGCTTCAGCACAAGACAGAGCTTATAGAAGACATGACATGCCAAGTAAGTGCCTCAAATCCTTTTAGAACTGTAAGTAATAAATAGGCTCAAAGAATCTTAAAGCACAACCTTTCCTGCCAGTAAAACATGTCACTTTTTCCACTCCTGCCAGTCAGGGAACTGACTTCCTAGCAGACCCCTCAGTAGCCAAAGAGGAGTTAACAGTGAATTCTACAGAAGCAGTGAGTGAAACAGCCCAGGCTGAAGGAAGGATGTGGTTTCTAACTACACTGCACATACCGACAAACATTTGTGCAAGCAATAGAACATAGTGACACCTTCAAAAGTTACCTTGAATAAGAGTTAAACACATTTCCCCCCCCCCTGAGTACCTACCTGTGTAAAAGAATCCTGCTCTAGCCAGTTGCTCAGGACGCACGTCAGTATATTGTGGCCAGTTCTGAAATGTAGATAGTCTCATCTCCTCCGTTTCCATCTCTGGGTATTCTGGTTCACTGGGCAGGGCTGTCTCCTCACTGTCTATCCCCTGCAAAAGGCTGAGGAACTGCCCATCCACAGTGTCAAAGATTTCCTGGAGACGAAGCATCTCTTGGTTCCCAACGTCCTCACCACAAATGAATTTACAGGAAGGGAAGGACTTCAGGTGCTCTAGTGCTGGCCAGTCACCAGGTCCCCAGTCCTTCAGGACACCACCACAGCAGAAACACTGTACTTCGTCTTTTGGCCCCACAAAGAAAAAGCCAGCCCTGACCAAGTCTCTGGCAGACACGGGTGAGGTGTCTGGCCACTGCTGGAAAGTCCTCAGCCTTCTTGCTTCATTCCTCATGCTGGAGTCAAAGAGCTGGCAGGAAGAAGCCCCGAGCTCAGTCTCCTCTGCTGGTGTCACGTCCCCCATGTTCTCGTTCTGAAAGAGGATGAGATAACCCAGAGCAATCAGCTGGATTCCGGGTGTCAGGCAGGATTCACCCGACGTTATTTGTTCCACATCCCCACGCATATTCCAGAAAGCTCCTGGTATAGACAAAGCTGAGCTTGTTTGGGAATTGCAGCCCAATCAGAGATCCGGGGCTTCTGTACTTTGCTGGTGAACTTTTGCTGAGTCCTCACTAGTGTCTGAGGGGAAGAGACCAGCACTTTCCCAGCCCTTCTGCCAATTTACTAGAAAAATACTCATGGGAACAGAGAGTGGAAGAGGAGGGCAAAATCCATGCTGCCTCCCTAGTTGAGCCAATCCAGCTCTGAGCATCTGATCTGTGTGATAAATCCCCTGTCATTTTGCTCAGTCTTAAAAGGTTTACTGTTTAAAAAGGTTGGTTTTTTTTTCCTTCCCTAACAACAGATTTAAGAAGGCATGCCATAAAAAAATTGAGAACTGCTACACCCAAACAAGTAGTGTCTTATAACGTTCAGTTTACAGCCAAATACTGCACAGAATATCAGTAGATTTTTCATAGCCTTATTATGCTAATAAACAGTGAATATACAGAAATGCCTCTATAAAAGATAATTTCTTTTATAGAAATAAGATAATTTCTCTGGACCACCTGAACAGCAGCTCCTCTGCAGTAAACAGTCACAGAGACTGTTACGAGGCACTCAGGCCACCAGCATCTCTCAAGTACTGTTCCTCTTAAAGTTAAGTGCAGCAGTGTGTTTAGGGACAAGAACTTACAGGGTATTTTAAGACCCATAAGCAGAGTTAACAAATCCATCCTTCACAGGGAGTACACATTTAGTGAGAGTTTAAAAGCAAAGGCAAGCTTGCCCAACCACAAGCCTCTCATAGTAAGAGGTAGCAAAGCAGAGAAAGTGCATTAGGAGCTAGAATTTTCTTCTATAATCACAGCCACAGAAACCAGAGTTGTAGGAAAAGAACGCTCTAAAAGTTTGGCTTAGAAACTACACTTCATTTAATATAATAAAATAGTTACTCAAGAACTGTGTCACTGGTATGAAGAAAAATCCATATAAAAAGAAAAAACCTCCTATTAGTTAGTGACACAGAGCAGAATTACAGCCCAAGCAAACTCACAAGCATGCAGTTTTTTAGCCTGCACAGCAGATTTTGCTCTCAGAACACAGAGAAGCAACACAGCGACTTATTCATCAGGCAGAGCTCCACAGTATTAGTGTTGCTCTCATCCTGGGTCCTAACAAAAAGAACTATTACTCTTGAGCTACCACAAAGGCTGTTTTTTTCACCCAGAAGGTAACCAAGTTATCTCAGCCTACTTCCACTTCGGGAGCACACATCAGAGCCACCTTCACAGAAAAACACAAAGAAAGAAAATTAGTTTTTCTACCCAAAAGCTTAACAGCCAAATCAGGCTTTTTTTTTTTTTTTGTTAAATAAGAGATACAACATAGGAGACCAAAAATATTCATCTTTTTGTTTATGAAGAAACCCATTATGGTTTACCTGCATTAAAGACATTGATATACTCTGCAGAAGATCCATTAATTCAATTATTAAAGCTCTCCAAACCTGACTGATACCTTACATAAAACTACTAAACACTGATATTCTCCAACAATTCACTGCTTAGACCTACATAGCGATACACTTCCAAAACAACATTACAGCTAATATCAACAATTCCTTATTACCACAATAAGAACTTTAAAAAAAAAAAAAAGACAGAAATTTACCTGTAAATTTCCAAACACTAAAAAACCAAAACACTTGCAAGAGCTAAGATTCTCCCAAACCCACAAGCTGCCCTCCTCTCTTCTACACAACACAGATGTCTCCTCCTCAAAGCAGCAGAAACTCATCCACTATGTAAGTGCTCCCACCTGAGAGAGGCCATTTCTAATCCTTCGTTTTCCCTGATTGGTTGGGTTTGTGCTCAAGTTCTCCCCTGGCAAATTTCATTGTAGTAAATGAGAGACACCTGGGAAAGATACAAAGTTCAACTCAAACTTCCTCCAGAAAAGCAACTGTTTGAGCCCCAAAAAAAAGAAATAAGCCAGAAAAAGAAAGAACCCAGCTTTGGGATGTTGTTGAAACCCAGCAGAGCGTCCTGACTCCTATGACATGGTGCTCACAATCGTCCTGTTGTACTGTAGCACCTTTGCTACTGCATCCATGATTTTTTCTTTAATTTCAATTGATATAATAACAGAACTTAACACAATCATATTCTCAAAGAAGACTGTCCATTTAAACATGATTCTATTCCTTTGCCTTCCTGCGGTCACAATTCAGAATGAAGGATTTTAAGGGTCATTTTGAAAGGTGCCATTACTTGAAAATGCATTTTCCTCTACCACTTTTCTGCCAGAGACAACGAATGCAGCTTATTCTAAACTATGTGCTTGACAAAAACATAAGTTCTCCGTGTTAACTTAAGAACACAGGTGATTTAGGTTTGTAAAAAATGATAAATTAGGACTTTTCTTTTAAGGAAAAAGATCCATGTCCCTTTAATTAAAAAGAACAGTGTTGGAACTTTTTTTTTTTTCAATTAAATGCATGTTAATGAAAATCCCTGAGCAGCAGAGGGCAGTGCTTATATACAGAACTTACAGAATCTTGTTCTTTTTTTTTTGTCTGAAATGAATTTATATGTAATTGCACATTATTTTCTGCTCCACACATCCTGTTCTTTAAAAGTCTATATTGATTTTTGAAGAATGTGTCCTAAAAGTATAAGACACAGAGTTACCCAGATCCTTCTTATGGAGGCTGTTTGGGGCCTCTGCTGGTGGGTTGTACCGATTCACCCGTTAATAGGTAAGAATGATGGACAGTTCTGATTGTGTGAAGCATTTTACAAGCAGTGACCTCATCTGGGACTGCTTAGAACCACCTTCCTTCTCAAATGGGATCTCAGGAGGTGTTGGGAATGTGGCAGGCTCCTTGATCCACCTTCCTCAGAGCCAAGCCATGGCTCACCAGCTGCCTCCAAGCAGCACTGGGACAATTTCATGCAAAATTTAAGAACTCTGCCAATGGCAAAGGGCAGCATGACATCCCATAGCGTTGTGCTAAAGATGTGCTGAATTGCCAAGCCCCCACAATTCCAGTTGTTCAACGAAAAGCTGCATAAATGCTCACAGGAAAGGAAAGGCAGTTAATTCTAACTTCATTTTACAAAATCTGACCGATTCTGTCTGTGATTATTAAGATTGTTTGGTTTACGTAATGTTCTTTCATCGTGTAAGCGTCAAGACAGGTTTAAGGGTGGTTTTCATAGAATCACAGAATGGTTTTGGTTGGAAGGGACCTTACAGATCATCCAGTGCCACCCCCTGCCCTGGGCAGGGACACCTCCCACCAGAGCAGGTTGCTCCAAGCCCCATCCAGCCTGGCCTTGAACCCCTCCAGGGATGGGGCAGCCACAGCTTCTCTGGGCCACCTTCTCTTTTTCCGTGGGGATACACCCATGTGATTTTGGGGGGAACATTTCCCCATCTTCTCTTTTTCCATGGTGAAACCCCCATGTGATTTTGGGGGGAACATTTCCCCAACAAAGGAAAGCTCAGAAGGAGCAGTGAGATGACTGTAACAGCAGAAGATGAAGTGACACCAAGTCTGGTGCTGAGAGCAATTAAAAATAAGTCAACATGGAGAAATGATGGGGTTTTATTTTAGCGATTACCTAAGGATTCAAATCTTTCAATCTCCTCCCCTAATTCTTTCTTCTGGCCTCCACTGCCACAACATCTGACCGCCTCAAAGCTTTCTCTATTGCAATACTTAGGAATAGCTAAACCGCAGCTTGCAACGTGATTCATGAAAGTGTTTAGAATCAAACACTATTAATATCCCGGCCCACAGGAACTGAGCACAGCACATATCAAAAGAAAAATCTGCAAAGCACAGCAGATACTAAAAAAATCAATAGAAGAACTGACCTTAAAATCCTACCGTGATTTGAAAAAAAAAAGCAAACCAACACGATAGTTCCTTGGAACAAGGAAAATTAAAGTGTTTCTGCCACAAGGCATATGTTTTATACTGTTTCATAACTTCATTATTTCAGTGTCCTGCTTATTATAAAGAATATTTCTGCTATAGTAGAGTGGGTTGCAAACAGTTCGATGCTTTTGAAATAGGTAACTGTTTGTAGAAAACAGCTTATTTTTTCTTTTTCTAAATGGCTTTTGGAGGAAAAATTTGAGTTCCTTTTTCAAGGGTCTTATTTTCTCTTTATTTGGTTAGAGGGTTGAGCTGCAGCACAGGGATGAGGAGGGAGAATTCGGAGAGAACTGGATGGGTAAGTACAACTCCCACAGTGAGGGTGGAAAAGGGGAATGATACTCCCCATCTTCCTCCCTTTCTGAGCAGCATCTGGCTGGTTTCCCCAAAGATCAGTTGTGCTTCTCCTTCCTCTCTGTTCCTGCCTCTCCCTCTCACCGACTCCTGTCATTTCCCAACTCCTGATTCTGACACAGAGGAGCCTCACGCCTGTGCTCTGCTCCCTCTCCCTGCTCAAAGCCTGGCAGGAGGGACAGGAACAGGAGACAAGTAGCCTCATGTAAACTGGGTGGCATCGCTGTTCCAAATTGTTCACAACTAAAACTACCCACTCTTCAGAAGAGATTGTTATCAGCTTGTGACAAAAGTACATTCCACCATTCAGCCATTAATTGCCTTTAAAGAAGGATTTGTCAGGCATTGTTACGACTTAAATGGAGCTCATCTTACTTTTTAATTGGTGGAAAATCAGCCACCAAGGATCACGGAACACTTGATTTTCCAATTAAATTCTGCCACAGTTTGGAACATGTTTTTATTGTAGCGAGATGTGCCCAGGCTGCCTCAATATTGTTTGGATGACAGGCAGAAAGATCTATTCTTGAGCTATTCACACTCGGAATCATCTGGTTTTCTCCATGCAAGTTGGCTCGGAATAGGTTTATTTTGTCCCTGTATCAATAATCAATAGCAAGATTGAA